TGTAGAGGTAAGAGGGACCCCTCCGGGATTAGGGTCCACTGAACCTTAAGCTTCTGGGGCCGCTCTGGTATTAGGGGCCTTTAAACTATAGCTTTATGATCTTCCTTAGTTTTCACACTGACCACCGAGTTACCCAAGAATTTCATAACAAATTATTTACACTTAGAGTGGTTGATTAATCAGTTAACCACTCTGCGAATGACAGAATAACGCTAGAAATACCAGTTGTTATTTACAAGGCGAAATTGGTGGATTATGCACATAAATGTCATTCCCAATACTGGCGTGAGCTCCAACACTTGCCCTCTGGACAAGACGTGCTAATCTGAGGCTTAAATGAAGAATCTTGGATCACTGCATGATACGGCCTCACTTAGCCAATTACTGGGTTCTTTACCTATCAAACTGTATATGGGGCCTTAGTGCCTCTTCTTACTCGATCCCACCCCGAGACATAGTTAAGTCATTAGGAACAGGCAGTAATAACCAATCTAAAGGGAAAAGGGGGTAAACAACACTAAACAGAATCTTCACTATGTGTACTTCTTAATTATATGCACACATATACAACACACAAAACAGCTGGTGTCACTTTCACACTGGACACTATACAACTTCAGCAAGCGTCTTTCCTGGCAAGACCACTGCTATCTTCTACCGTACACCACTCAAGGTTCTCTCATTGCGTCTGTCGTATATGGTCCTCACGCCGGCGAGTTCACCTTTCTCTGATGGGCCAGTCATATACAGTATCGTCAAGGAGCTAGAACACCACTTCTACTCTCCCGCAACACGCTGGCACTGGAACACGGCACTCCCACTGGAACACGTCGTGAGTTCAGGACTGCCCTGGGTGAACTGTTTCCTGTCGACCAAGATACCACTCCACATCACTTCTGAGTAAACTGTGATTAGTAAGATGGAAACTACAAATGGGTCAATAATATCACAGCCTTCCACATGGGAAGAGAAAATGGCGTCGGGTGTGCTCAGCAGATAGCGTTGATATCGTCACACTGTATAGTCGGCTGGACAGTCACGCTAAAAGATCAACCCACTGGATGACGTGAGATCACCCACTTGGAAAAGGGAGGTCTGGATACGTTTATTGTCTCAAATACATGTACCAGGTCTTCCGTTTTTTCTTTGGCTGAGACTTTGGATGAGCCGTGCTGTCGTTGTAGTTTGGTGAGGTGTCCTCCATGAGGAGCTCTTGTACCGAGTAGGTGTTGAATTTGTGGTGCGGCGGTGGAGCTCCTACTAAGATTTCCTCGTCTGAGAAGTCCGTAACATCCGTCGGTGGTGTTTTCGTCCCGCAGCCTGAGGTAGACTCAGGTGTCATGGATTGGTGGTAGAAGCTATTTCAGGAGCGTTGGTGGTGCTGTTAGCATTTGTAGACAGCACGTCTGCTAGCGCGTCTGCTGAGATGGTGATGGTAGGAGTGTTGGGAGCTGGAGAGGGAAATACCTCTGTTTGTGCCGCCCGGGTCATGGGTGGTTCTGGAGTCTGTGTTGAAATCGACCTCGTGGTCGTCCTGGTGGTAGTCTCCGGAGTGGTAGTGGAGGCAGTGAGACTTGCGCCAGGGGCTATGATGGGGTCCAGGCCATTGGCTAGGTATAATGTGTTCAGTTCACTGACAAAACGGTGGTTGTCTGGTCCGGCAAGCCTTTCCGCTAGTCTAATAAGACCAGGGATAATGCCTGCACGTGATGCAGGGGGCTGTGAAGGAGCCTGTGGGGCCTTGGGTCCCCATTGTGAAGGCTGGGTCGCCTGGTGGGAGGAGCCACTCTTTGGTAAGGCTGGAAAGTCTTCTGGTCGGTTGGTGGGAGCTGAGGTGGTTGGTTGAGCACCTGGGGCTCTGGTCGCAGAGGTAGAAGGGTTGTTTCTCTTGGCTTCAACCTGGGCCTTGATGTTTTCCTGTCTGCGGGGGCAGCGGTTGGAAATTGTGGGGTGATTACCATCACAGAGCAAGCAGTGACGGGCTGTTGCCTTACATATGGAGTAGTGATGGTCCAGTGCGCACAGACTGCACTTCTGGACAGGGTACTGACACTTGTTGGTGGGGTGGGAGAGCTCGTAGCACTTGAAGCACAGCTGGATCTCATGGTATCGTTCCTTTTTTTACTTGGTGACGTTGTATTTGTAAGCCGAAGCAGTAGAAACCTTGTGTGGCAGCCTGGGTGGCCGCAGCTATGGTGGTGAAAGTAATCTTCATTGATGATTTGTGGGTGCAACAGAACTCAAAGTTGAATACACCCAGGTTCGGATTTTCGTCCTCGATATTGTCCATGATCTTTTGTTGCGGTCGGTCAGCGACCCATTGGCTGGTCCTGATGGTAAAAACAGTTCTTCTGGCCAGGAACTGACGTGGGAAGTGAGGATGTAGGTGGTGCTCCTTGCGAACTATGACATCGTTGGTCAAGAGTTTTTCTAGCTCTTCCTCACATGAAAAGAAGAGCACGATATCATCACCTTCCTGACTAATGTCAGTGGGTGTGCTGCCGGTAACGTTCTCCAGGACCTTAAGAATACTGCTATTCCTAAAAGCATGACCGTCAATTGGGGGAAAGAGTTACGTGCTCATCCACAGAGCTCCAGTATGAGCTGTTGGTACTGGTAATGGCTCCAAAAAACTACTTTTAATGACTTACGGGCTATTTATGCCCGTGCCACCTTTTGTGTGGCTTAATCTTCATTAATCAATCGGAGATAGAGGCAGCTCTCTGGATGAAAGGAGATAATTAACAAAGCAAGCAGAAAACAGGAGCAAATATTAAAGTAAATAGCGGAATGGAAGGGACGAGAGAATCATAATAGAAAGGAGACAGGAGAACACAGCAGGAAAGACTGACAAAAGTCAGATCATGAGTGCTAAGATGATTAGAGCCTTGGACTATACACTCAGCAAGGCAAGAGTCAACAAAGCCAGGACTTAGGTGCACGTGGCGTCTGAAACCAGAGTGCAAAAGAACTCATCTTGAGGAGAGTTGGAACAAGAAAAATTAGTTTAGCTAAAAAAATATCAAGCTATAGGATGTTCGGAACACCTAAAGTGAGAGGGGAGAGTATTGTTCGAATCAGTGAGAGGGGAGAGTATTGTTCGAATCAGTGAGAGGGGAGAGTATTGTTCGAATCAGTGAGAGGGGAGAGTATTGTTCGAATCAGTGAGAGGGGAGAGTATTGTTCGAATCAGTGAGAGGGGAGAGTATTGTTCGAATCAGTGAGAGAGGAGAGTATTGTTCGAATCAGTGAGAGGGGAGAGTATTGTTCGAATCAGTGAGAGGGGAGAGTATTGTTCGAATCAGTGAGAGGGGAGAGTATTGTTCGTATCAGTGAGAGGGGAGAGTATTGTATCAGTGAGAGGGGAGAGTATTGTATCAGTGAGAGGGGAGAGTATTGTATCAGTGAGAGGGGAGAGTATTGTATGTATCAGCAAGTTTATCTCTTGTTGTGTTGTTATCTCTCTCTTTTTAAGACAATCATTTTATTAGGAGCGACTTACTGTGCCTTTTCTGTGTTATCTGTAGCCGGGGATCTGATGTAATTCCCTTGTCTCTAAATCCGAATATTAATCATTATTTCTTGATGATCTTTTCTTACTTCTCAACTATAATTTTTCTATCACGATCTTCCTATCAGGACTCCTGAGCTTTCCTTCTTTCCTACTCCCTGATCTTCACTGCTTCCTTATCTTCTCCTTCTTCGCTTGCTAATTATCTCTCTCATCCTCTCATCTCCGGTGCTTTGCACCCTGAATCTGTCCTCTCCTCCTAAGTCGTTACTTCCTAGCCCTGTCCTATTCTTCCTTGCTCCTTAACACATTCATCTCCTTACTCCCTAACCCGCTGTTATCCTCCCGTCTCCGATCCCTCATGACTCCTTAACCTCCTCCTCCTCCTCTCTCCTGTGCTCCATGACTCCTTCTTTCCTCTCTCCTCCCTCACCCAACTCTTGATCAAGGAGTTTGATCTGTCTTAACCCTTGACAGTAAAACACACATAAACACTTGGGACTCGGTAATAGCCACATGAAAACAAAATTATATATGTTTAGGACTCTATGAATCAATCTTTGCAATAGGAGGAAAACTATAATTTTTCCTTTCTTTATATAACAAGTTTAGCTATAATATGCACTATGTGTCGTTACGACGGGGGCTAATTATGTGGTAAAAGATGCCAACTATTGTAATTAAGTAGAGTCTTGAGGCAGAGTGGAGAGGCGTAGCCGCCATCCCATATTGTTGTACCCTGAAGTTAATTAACTAACTCGAGTGAAGTGTTAACTTCCGTAAAGTTCTTCAGCGGAGCAAGTTTTCTAAAGGTATCAATATTACAACTCAAATATTTTGTTCTTTTAGTAAATCGCAGAATATTTGGAGAAAAATTACATCTAAATAACGATGTTAAATTGTATTTCTATATAAGAGACTATATTTCGCTGTCCAGCTTTAGAGGCCAAACGCTTGCGGCTAGCCCCACTTAACAGAACAAATCTAATCATCACACGTTGCCCATAGCAGCTAAAACATACGATCCTCCCACAGCTTCAAGGGCTTTCTCAAGCCCCATCCCTCTCTCTCAAGCCCCATCCCTCTCTCTCAAGCCCCCTCCCTCTCAAGCCCCCTCCCTCTCAAGCCCCATCCCTCTCTCTCAAGCCCCCTCCCTCTCAAGCCCCCTCCCTCTCAAGCCCCATCCCTCTCTCTCAAGCCCCATCCCTCTCTCTCAAGCCCCCTCCCTCTCGAGCCCCATCCCTCTCTCAGAGCCATTTGGAAATTAATATATTTCTTATAAGAGGGAGAGAGGCAGAAACAAGATAGTAAAAAAGAGAGTCAGACAGAGATAGGCTTACAGAGAGACTGGGTCGACCAGGGTAATGAGAGAGACAGTGACAGACATCAACACAAAGACAGGTAGAGAGACAGAGGATGCCACAGAGAGACAGAGGATGCCACAGAGAGACAGAGATAGGGGAGAGGCAGGAGAAGTGGGAGAGGGAAGATGTTTAAGGAGAGGGAAGGAGGAAGAAGGTAGGAAGAAGGAAGGAGAGGTGAGAGAGAGGGGGGATAAGAGGGAGGGAGGGGTGAAAGGTGTGAGAGGGATAGAGATGGGAAGAGAAAAGAGATAGGGAAAGTGAGACGCGAGAGGGGGGTGGACTTATATAGAAGGGGTAGTGATGGCTTAGTGCTTTCTCCTGATAGACACCGTACCTTCAGCCTATGTATCTCCTCCCCCCCCGCACCTCCTCCTCCAATCCCTATCCCATGTTCTTCCCCTCCCTCTGCATTTTAATTATCTTTCTCATTCTTACTGTCTTCCTCCTTTTCCACTTTCATGTCTGTCGTGACTGTGTCATGTCCCCATCCGTCTCACTAGTGTCCGTCCTGCCGCTCTCTCTCTCTTGTTCTTCCTTCCCATCTGCTATCATGTTCTTCCTGTATCCCTCATATCTTTACCTCCCTCCCACTCTCATCCCTTCTTGATTTCCTAATATTCTTCCTGTCTCATCGCCACCCTTCCCTCTCCCTCCCACCATACACGTATCAGTGACTGTGTCCAAGGAGTCCGCCATTTAGGATTCATCTCGTGATATCTTCCTTTATTCTGGTAATATATATTTTATTACTCTTTTTTACCTTAGACAGTAAAAAGGAAATATGAACCATCACTCGGTTTATAGAAACACCCTCGAGATCGGGGGGGGGGGGGGGGGGGTGAGGAAGACAATGGTCAGAACACACGTGTCAGGTCAGCGGATGTCAGGCGCTTCTCTGGTGACCGGTAATCTTACCAGGCCATCGGACAAAAGGCTAGAAGAAAACGGATCCGGTCGCCTGTAGGTGGAAGTAAAGTTCAATTATCTGTTTAATAAGGAAGCCATTTTGGGTATTAGTAGTGGGAGTGTTGGGGTCACTGATGCGTGGTTTGATATTAGGGTTTCTTCTCCCATGGTAATATTGATCACTGGTGTTAACTGGTCTAGAAGAATTAGCACTGCAGCAGGCTTGATGGTCTCTACTAGACGGGAGCCGTGTAGCGTGTAGAGCCACATCCTCCCTCTTCCACCCACCACTGGTGGACACGGTGGCGCCGTCTGCTACCCGCTTCCACTTCTAGATCTTCTCGACACCTGGCAATGATATGAATAAAATATTTTAATGTTTAATATGAAAAGCATTATTCGTTCACCTTCCTAGAGTTACCATTCATCTGCGGAGTCGGGATGACTCTGACGTCTTGACAGTTCTGACTGTGGATTATATTAAGACAATCCTTCGTCTTCATTGTCTTACGTCCCTCTATTGCTTGTTTTATTCCCTCCTTCTGTCTTAATTCCCTTCCTCTCCATTGTCCACCTTATCCTTCCCCGTCCTATTTCTGCTTTGCATCTAGTATTTGCATATTCTTTTAAACCACTAGCTTAAAGCTCTGTACCTCCAATCTCCTAGTTCCACCTCCTCCTCCTCCTCCTAATACTACTACTCTTTCTCCTGCTCTTCCATTCTCCTGCAATGTCCTCTTATATGCAACATTGTTTTCTTTATCTTTGACATTTGTCCATAGAGGATAATCATGAGCAGTTATACATTTCTATTTCCCTAACAGAGGCTTAGTAGTAATATAATTCTTTGATCAAATGCCTGAATTTAGCAGGCATTTGAGGAACCATCCCCCAGCAAGAGTCCTAAAACCTCACTTCCTCAACAAGAGCTCCTCTCCAGCAAGAGTACCCCAACCTATACCTCCTTAGCAGAATTTTCATGTTGGGGAAGACCTTCTTCCCCAACATGAGCTTTAAGATCTCCCTTCCCCACGGGAATTTCACGACTTCCTTGCCAGCAAGAGCCCCTAAACGTCCATCTCTAGCAGGTCACAAAAGACCTTCCCAAGCACGAATCCCGAAATCTCCCTCACCATCAGAAAACACAAAACATTCCATCTTAGCAAGTGTCCCAAGGCCTCCCCTCCCATCAGGAGTCCCAAGGCCTCCCGTCCCATCAGGAGTCCCAAGGCCTCCCGTCCCATCAGGAGTCCCAAGGCCTCCCGTCCCGTCAGGAGTCCCAAGGCCTCCCGTCCCGTCAGGAGTCCCAAGGCCTCCCGTCCCGTCAGGAGTCCCAAGGCCTCCCGTCCCGTCAGGAGTCCCAAGGCCTCCCCTCCCGTCAGGAGTCCCAAGGCCTCCCCTCCCGTCAGGAGTCCCAAGGCCTCCCCTCCCGTCAGGAGTCCCAAGGCCTCCCCTCCCGTCAGGAGTCCCAAGGCCTCCCCTCCCGTCAGGAGTCCCAAGGCCTCCCCTCCCGTCAGGAGTCCCAAGGCCTCCCCTCCCGTCAGGAGTCCCAAGGCCTCCCCTCCCGTCAGGAGTCCCAAGGCCTCCCCTCCCGTCAGGAGTCCCAAGGCCTCCCCTCCCGTCAGGAGTCCCAAGGCCTCCCCTCCCGTCAGGAGTCCCAAGGCCTCCCCTCCCGTCAGGAGTCCCAAGGCCTCCCCTCCCGTCAGGAGTCCCAAGGCCTCCCCTCCCGTCAGGAGTCCCAAGGCCTCCCCTCCCGTCAGGAGTCCCAAGGCCTCCCCTCCCGTCAGGAGTCCCAAGGCCTCCCCTCCCGTCAGGAGTCCCAAGGCCTCCCCTCCCGTCAGGAGTCCCAAGGCCTCCCCTCCCGTCAGGAGTCCCAAGGCCTCCCCTCCCGTCAGGAGTCCCAAGGCCTCCCCTCCCGTCAGGAGTCCCAAGGCCTCCCCTCCCGTCAGGAGTCCCAAGGCCTCCCCTCCCGTCAGGAGTCCCAAGGCCTCCCCTCCCGTCAGGAGTCCCAAGGCCTCCCCTCCCGTCAGGAGTCCCAAGGCCTCCCCTCCCGTCAGGAGTCCCAAGGCCTCCCCTCCCGTCAGGAGGCCCAAGGCCTCCCCTCCCGTCAGGAGGCCCAAGGCCTCCCCTCCCGTCAGGAGGCCCAAGGCCTCCCCTCCCGTCAGGAGTCCCAAGGCCTCCCCTCCCGTCAGGAGTCCCAAGGCCTCCCCTCCCGTCAGGAGACCCAAGGCCTCCCCTCCCGTCAGGAGTCCCAAGGCCTCCACTCCGGTCAGGAGGCCCAAGGCCTCCCCTCCCATCAAGTGACCCAAGGCCTCCCCTCCCATCAAGTGACCCAAGGCCTCCCCTCCCATCAGGAGGCCCAAGGCCTCCCCTCCCATCAGGAGTCCCAAGGCCTCCACTCCGGTCAGGAGGTCCAAGGCCTCCCCTCCCATCAGGAGACCCAAGGCCTCCCCTCCCATCAAGTGACCCAAGGCCTCCCCTCCCATCAAGTGACCCAAGGCCTCCCCTCCCATCAGGAGGCCCAAGGCCAACCACCAAGGAAGATAACAAAGCCATATTCCAAACAGGTGTTCAAAGACTTTCATCTGCCAGAAACACTGAAATTTTACTCTAAATCAGAAATGAACTCCAACTCCTTACTCCAAATCAGAAATGAAAAAATGAAATGAAATCAGAAAAAAGACAAACGCTATTCTGTGTTTGGATAAAGAATGAAATATATTTGACAATACGTAAAAATATAATAATTTTAAGTTTAAAAATCGATAAATTTGACCAGTAAATAAGGCCTAATAGGTATGTAATTAATTATAACGAAAACGAATTGATAACTGATTAATGAAAGTGAAGAGAGGGGGAGAGCTGTGATGGCTCCCGCACTGTGGCCTCATACACTAATGTGCTGCGTTATACACAAGATCTCAGCAGGAGTTAACTGGGAATTGTGCTGTCACGGGCCGGTATGGGATCCTTACTCATCTGCATCGAGAGAGGCAGGAACAAAGGTCAGAGGAAGGGGGGGGGGGTAAAATGAGAGGGAAAGAAAGCGAGAAAGAGGGAGGGAAAAGAGAATGAGAGATGTGGAGAGAGAGAGGGAGAGAGACAGAGATTCCAGTTGGAACGGAAACAAATTGGAAGCGTTTCGTTTCACCTCATGCCTATTTACCTAATAGGTACCTGGGAATTACAGTTTCTAGAGGATGTATCCTGCTAATGGTCAGCATTTGGCCTAGTACTTTCACACACACACACACACACACACACACACACACACACACACACACACACACACACACACACACACACACACACGAACCTCACATCCCTGGAAAACAGAAGAGTAAGGGGAGACATGATAACCACCTACAAAATTCACAGGGGAATTGACAGGGTGGACAAAGACAAACTCTTCAGCACTGGTGGGACACGAACAAGGGGACACAGGTGGAAACTTAGTACCCAGATGAGCCACAGAGACGTTAGAAAAAAAAATTCAGTGTCAGAGTAATTAATAAATGTAATGCACTAGGAAGTGATGTGTTGGAGGCTGACTCCATACACAGTTTCAAATGTAGATATGATAGAGCCCAGTAGGCTCAGGAATCTGTACACCAGTTGATTGACAGTTGAGAGGCGGGACCAAAGAGCCAAAGCTCAACCCCTGCAAGCACAATTAGGTGAGTACAATTAAGTGAGTACACACACACACAGCCCCCCCCCCCCTGATGGAGGGAGACATCAGAGTGGCGAGATGTCACCAGCGGAGTCCACAGGGCTCAGTACTTGGACCCATCCTATTTCTAATATATGTAAACGATCTTCCGGAGGGTATAGACTCGTTCCTCTTAATGTTTGCTTGTGATTCTTCTCATAATTTTTGCATCAAGACGGATGAAGATAGAGACTACAGGATGACCTGAACAAACTGGAGGAATGATCTAGAAAATGGCTGCTAAAATTCAACTCGGGGAAAGTGTAAGGTAATGAAATTAGGCGAAGGAAGCAGGAGGCTGAACACAAGGTATCATCTGGGAGGTGAAATCCTCCAAGAGTCAAATAGAGAGAAAGATCTGGGGATTGATATCACACCGAACGTGTTCCCAGAGGCCCACATCAAAAGAATATCATCAGCGACATATGCTAGACTGGCCAACATACGAACTGCCTTTAGAAACTTGTGTAAGAAATCGTTCAGGACCCTGTATACCACTTATAAGACCAACCGACTGGTAAACCGACTGGTAAAGGTGGCGCCTTCAGCCTGAAGTCTCCAAAGGAATTTGTTGACTTTGTGCGGGGGAACACGGGCCACAGGGATAAGAGCCTCGTTGGACGTAGAATCACTGTTTACCAACGTACCTGTGGATGAAACAATCGGGATGATAGCGGAAAGGGTGTATCGTGATCCGGCCTGTATTCCTCTTGACATACCTGAAAACATTCTAAGGAAACTACTCCAAGCTTGTACTAAAGAGGCACCCTTCTTGAGCCTGGATGGGCAGATGTATAAGCAAGTAGATGGGGTCGCCATGGGTTCTCCCCTAGGTGCCCTGTTTGCGAACTTCTACATGGGTACCATCGAACAGAAGGTCTTAGTCGACATGAACTTGAAACCGGCCATATATTGCAGGTATATTGACGACATTTTTACACAGGTACCTGATGTCAGACATCTGCAGGAGCTGAAGGAAGCATTTGAGCAGAATTCTGTGTTACATTTCACTTACGAGATGGAGAAGGATGGGAAGCTGCCCTTTCTAGATGTAACAGTCATGGAAAGGAGCGGAGGTTTCCACACTGCAGTCTACACTAAGGAAACAAACAGAGGAATGTGCCTTAATGCCAACAGTGACTGCCCAGACAGGTACAAGAGGAGTGTTGTTAACGCTTATGTCGACCGTGCTCTCAGCCACAGCTCAGGATGGAAGAAAGTCGATGAAGAACTCTGTAGGGTAAGGCAGGTCCTAGTCAACAACGGCTACTCCAATGGTTTCGTTGAAGACATCTTAAGAAGGAAAGTGAAACGGCATGCAACCTCTGAAGAGACAATTAACACAACACCTATACCCCCTATTAGACTATTTTACAGGAACTTCTTTTCCACAGCTCATAAAACGGAGGAAAGGGTCCTGAAAGATATTGTTAATAGAAACGTTATCCCTACAGACAAAAATCAGAAGATACAATTGACGATTTACTATAAAACCAAAAAAACGGCCAACCTACTCATGAGAAACTCTCCAGACACAAAGCAGAACGCTTTAAAAGAGACCAACGTCGTCTATGCCTTCAAATGCCCTCTTGGGGACTGTAAGCCTCAAAGAATTCAGTATATAGGCAAGACAACAACATCTCTTTCCAGGCGATTAACGATGCATAAGCAACAGGGCTCCATTAAGGAACATATAATCTCTTCCCACAACCAGACCATCACCAGAGAAGTCTTAAAAAACAACACAGAAATCATCGATAGATACAGCGATAGCAGGCGGCTTGATATCTGCGAGGCACTACACATCAAGAAGTCAACACCAGCAATCAACAGTCATTTAATGCACAACTATATTCTACCCACTTCAAGACTCCGCATCAATATTGAAGCATCAAGAAATATGGGCAAATAGGCCCTTTGCAGTTACTTCCATTCTTCCCTTTAATTTACCCAATTTATACCCATTGTTTCGTGTTCTGTCTTGTGTTGAAAGTTTGTTTTCACCTCATCCAAAACTGTTGTAACATATCACCTCACCCAAATGCAGGTATATAAGATGAAAGCTGTTTAAATGATAGCATAGTAGAACTCTGTTTAGTGTTTGCAGGTTATAGTTGTGTGTGTGTAAACTAAAGTCTTTGAAAATGTAATAAGTTATTACGAAACACGTTCAAGTGTCGCGTCAGACTATAAATAAAAAAGAATTTCGGAGAATTGATTTTTCAATTACCATCTCCAGTGTAAAGAAACATAAGATATATTGAGAAAATTCGTGTTGGAATTATTAATCTTACTTTTTCGGTCATATTTAATAATATATATATATATATATGTGTGTATATCACGAAAATAAACACGTGATTAAGAATGTGACAATGTCAGACCACGGAGGAAAAATGAAACAGGAAATTTCCTTAAGTACTTTCGTATATTAAATACATCTTCAGAAGGTCATTTTACAGATCGAGTGATGGGTATAAATAGGCAGGAAGGAGTGGTGAAGTAAGGTGAGGTACAATACTTGGACAACGCAGAAGGCCCATTGGCCCATCAGATGCACCCAATTGGCACATCCGATGTAGCACAATGGCCCATCTGATACAGCAGACATACAAGCATAATATATAGGTAATTATAACATAAAGAAGTAAATATATACAATAAATTAGTGAGACAAATGTTTTTCAATGATTCTACTTAAATCGCCCTTTAGCTGATCTATTAGAAATGGATCTAAGTTATATAGACCACTGCTAATATTCAAATTACTTTCTTTGGTGATCTGTATCAAAGCAGATTCAATTATGTTTCTGTTATAGGTGCTTTTACAATTTGTTATTGAAGAAGCACTCTCCCAATCAATTTGGTGAGCTTTTTCTGACAAATGCACAAACAAAGCATTAGACAATTGGCCATGTTTTACAGAGTATTTATGTTGCGATATTCTACATTTTAAATCTTTAGATGTTTGCCCGACATAGAACTTATTACATTCCTTACAAGGTATTTTATAAATGACGCAATTATCACTACGAGGGCTGTTCCTTACTAATAGCTTACCAACAGTGTTTTCGTAGCTAAACATTACATCTATATTAAAAAGTTTCAAGGCCTTGACAATATTCTCAAACCCAGAGAAATATGGTAAACATAACACATTCTTTGGGCGAATCCTTTCACTGCATACATTATTATAATATGTACGACGAGCTTTGTTACGACAAACTTCCAAAAAATTCAGTGGGTAACAAAGCTTAAGACCAATCGAATCAATATTCTTAAATTCTTCATCTAAGAATTCTGGACTCACAACTCGAAGAGCTCTTAGATACATTGAAGAAAAAATTGACTTTTTTACATTGTATTTATGCCCTGAAAAATAATGAACATAAGATAAATTGTTCGTAGGTTTTCTGTAAACACTAAACTTTAATGAAGAGTTTTCCCTATGAATAAGCACATCTAAGAATGGCAAACATTTATCAATTTCAGTCTCCATAGTAAATTTTATGGAGGTGACTTGGTCATTAAGTTTGGCTACAAATTCGTCTGTGTT